TAACCGACAGGTCATTTAGCCGACACGGACAGTTAGCCGACAAGACACTTAGCCGACAAGGACACTTAGTCGACAGGACATTTAGCCGACACGGACAGTTAGCCTACAGGACATTTAGCCAACACAGACAGTTAGTCGACAGGACATTTGGCGAACACAGAGAGTTACCTGACAGGACATTTGCCCAACACAGAGAGTTAGCCTTCAGGACACTTAACTGTCAAGTCATTTAGTCAACAGGACACTAAGCCCGACAGTGAAGTTTAGCTGACACGTGCCCAATAATTATTCAAATTTACTATCAATTACAAAATTTCTTTGTGTTCTCCATAAGTTCAATATTTAAATCATTTTCTTCACTTATCAGCAAAACTCATTTTTTGATTCTTAAAGATTTCATAGATGCTTTTAATTATTGTGTGGTGTATATTGGCCAAATTGAAAAAGCACTGAAATTTCTCGTCAGGGAATATGAATTAAATATCGAAAAGAAAAAAGTTTTTTTTTTAACCTAAGTACGGTGGTCACTTAATTACATTTTAATATGGGATTTTCAAAAATTATCCGTAAAGCTTTTTCGTTAATCAACTGGGTTCTTTTGAACACTTTTACATCACTAATAATTTTTCTTGTTTACTTAATGATATTAATTTTCCAATCTGGCTCTTCTTAATGCTTTCAAATATGTAGGAAATTAAAAGCACGATTCTGTAACATTTTATTGACCACGCCTCTCGCTTAAAATACTTACTTAGGTTAATGTTTATAACACTAAACTGTTGCATAATGTTTAATTTAGAATTAAAGTATTCTTTAATGTTTTGTTTTATTCAGAACTGAATACATTTCCGCAAAAACTACATTTTTCACTCTTCATATATCGAAAATGCTGCTGATATGCAACTCCACTCTTATTTTCTAACGGCGCCTACTAAATGATTTGGATTGTGTTAAGGTTGCGCGGAAGCCTTTTGAATATGATTTATTGGAATTGGATAGTGCATGTTTTAGTTTACTGTAAAAATATACATAGATTTCTCTTTTCCTAACTAATTTGCATATAATATTATGTACTTGCCATCATCTTTTACAATCATAATATTACACACACAATCATCTTTCTTCTCTCATCAGGCGATAGAACCTCAGGCTAAACACCGTATATCGAAGTATCGCAGTTCTTCTCTCTCTTTATATATATATATATATATAGTATACACAATCATTTTTCTTCCCTAAACAAAATTTATGCAATCATTCAGCTCTCTCAGTATTAACTTTTGAAGTTTTATCATAATGGCCATAGTTAATAGGTAAAAATGAGTTTGCTCGATTCCGACATTTTAATAAAGTTGCTTATTTTTATCTTAAGAATAGTAAATAACTGCCAGTTGATGATGAGGTGACAATGAATTTTAAACATCTCTTTTTGGTCTCCATAACCTTGAAAGTTCTCTTTATTATTTTTTTATAGCAAAATAAAATAGAGATGGTAATCTAACACTAAACCGCCAATATTTCCTTTAAAAGCTTAATTCAAAAATAATACTTACTTTGGTATTCACGTTTGGGACATTTTCGAGCAACACATTTATAAAGGTTTAGCCTAAAAAAGCAAGTTTCATCAGAAGAGACTGGTTCTATATTAAGTAAAATGGTAACTCTATATCTGATGGGCCCAGTAAGGTCTGAGTGGTAAAGTCGCAGAGCACTGGTAGTTTGGTTCGAATTTCAAATCCCACGAACGGACTGTCCTTAGTTTGGGTGTTTCCTTAGTTTTCTCCATATGTAATGTGTATACGACCCAGTTTTCCTTTGAACGTCCTCCATGAAGGCATCCCTTCCCTTAGGCAGATAACCTTCTGGCTTTGTCGTAATTACATAAACCAAACCTACTTCTGTAAGGTGGCCGCAGTACCATGTAGGTAACCCAAGAACGAGAAGGAATGAAAGAGAAAAAAAAGCAAAATTAATGAAAAATGAAATGAAAATTTATACATTTTTAACAGATATTGAGAAAAATTATATTTTATAAGAAAAACATTAATATAACATATTTATATTGAAAATTACACATCGTGACTTTCAAAACATAGTACATAGTATTATCTATTTACATGACTGATCTAGTTAAATGTAGCATCGATAGATAGCACAACATTACGGTCACAATCTGACGCTTTGCTCCGCCCTACTTGGTTTGTGACCACCTCCTTCTGCAGCTTCAGTTACAAATAAAACGAAACCTTAAAGAATATTTTACTTCTAAATTAAACATTATGCACTAGTTTAGGGCTATAAACATTAACCTACGTAAGTATTTTAAGCGAGAGGCGTGGTCAATAAAATGTTACAGAATTTTTATCTCAAGGATGGTGGCATGAACTGCGAATTATTGAGGTCACAAATAATTTATACCTCTGATGGTCTTAAAAATTCACTTCTTTTAATTAGTTTTAATAACAAAATAAAATATATTTGCTAAACTAACCCTCATCGCCATATGTTTCTATAAAAAAGTATAATTCAAGAATAACAAAAATTTTTATTGCATTATTCAGATTTTTCATGACAGGTAAAAGGAAATTTCATTATTGGGAGGAGCCAAACAATTTTTTAAGGGAAGGAATGTAACATGATGTGATAAGCAAAATAGTAATGAAACGTAAAGATATTAGAAATTTGAAAGCATTTGGAAGAGCGAGATTGGAAAATTAATATCAGTACATAAACAAGAAAAATTATTGATGATGTGAAAGTTGATTAAATGAAGAAGCTTTACGGATAATTTTTGAAGATCCCATATTAAAATAGCCTTAAGTATATGCAGGTAAAGCCTTAAGTATATGCAGAAATATATTTCATCAGGTTTCAAATAAGCCTTAAGCATATGTGGTAAGTAAACTTATATACATAATAAATAAGCAATCTCATATAATTCAGACTTTATAAGGTATTTTCTCTGCTGGGCCAATGATTTCCTTGCTTGTTTGCTTGTTGCTTATGTTTTGATAAACGGTCCTTTATCCATTATAGATTTTCAGTGTGGTTGCAGAAATTTCAGCATGGCAGGCCACTTTGTCAATAACTGATATCTTCCCTGATTTGTCTTGAACTTAAATGTTTATCTAGTTCCTCTTCTGGCATCTGTTTGAAGTATAAATTCTGGCTTGTCTGGCTGTCATTTTTCTGTGATTGTAAGACTGCTGGTGGCCTTCTGTCCTGTTTTTTGTATTCGCTGACCTTCTTACAGTCATTGCTTAACACTCAGTTGGTCTTCATATCTCAGGAATCTTTGAACTTTTCCTTGATCCTTGGCAAACTTCCTTCTTCTTTTCTTTCTTTTTGGCCCCCGTTCTCTGTGATTTTGCTCCTTAATGTTTTCTCAAACCTCGGCTTTTCCTTTTCTTTCTCACCATTTCCAGCATCCTTTCCTTTTCTTTTTGTATCTTGTACTCTGGACATCAATGCTATATTCCCACACTTTCTGGCCCTTCACTGCTGAAGTTCAGTAACACCCGCAAAGTGCCTCCTAACAGTGTCGTATCAGCACACTCATAATAGTGCTTGATTTATCTATATGCATTCACTTTTGTGCTTTGGGGACTATGTAACTGCACTTTAAGGTATATGCAACTGTTCAACATTTTTATTTTTTTAATAGACCACTACTTCTGTAATTCTCTTGACTGAAAAGGAGCCTTCAAACTTATTATTAAACTTCTCAACCTTTTCTTCTGGTGCATTGTCAAAGAGAGTGTTTAATTTTCAAGACTATATCCCACAAATCAGTTTCCTACCTTATCATAATAAAATTTTGTTTCTCCCAGGCCATATCTAAATTTCTATTTGCCTCATCCACTAATTTCTGAATGTCAGTCATCTTAAATTTTGCAGGCTTCTTTTCAACAAAAAACATTTTTGAGGGCATATTTCACTTTCTTCCAAGAAATAGTCCAACCAGTGTTTTCCCAGTTGTAACATGTTTGGCCATTCCTAACACAAATGCCAATTCGTTGATGCAATCATCCCAAGGTTGGAGATAATTTTGTACATAACAGCTACCAATAATTTTAACTATGTTCCTCTTACCCTCTGCAATATTTAATTGCGGTCAATAAGGACCATCTTAAAAATGTTTTATGTCAAGAAGTTTATGTCTTATATGAGGGTTATGTCATATCTGCACTCAAAAATTTGGCTTTCAGATAGATTTCCATTGTCTGATATTATTTTTAATTGAAGCTTCATATTTTAATATAAATTTATTTTTAAATGACTCTGCTACAATTTTAGCGGAAGCTCTTTTGAGGGGAATTGCTATGCCAAATACTCTATACCACTTAAAATTTTTCTGCAAAAAACTACTTTGCGTCTCCATATCTACTAATGCATGTGCTTGTATACTGTTCAGTGCAATTTGAATCTCTAGAAAGGATAAATTTTTAATTAGTATCATGTTCAGTTGAATGAAAGTTTTTTTTTTTTTTTTTTTTCTTAAATGAGATAATATACTCTCTGTATTGCAGTACCTCTGCCCTAGTTTAAATATTTCCTGTCTTCCCCCATTTTCCTCTTTGCCTAGTGACTATTTTTTTGTGACTTTTCAGTGGGGATGCAGAAAATCTGAAAGTACTTAAAGTTATTTAGCATGTGTTAATCCATAATAAGAAATATCACTTTCTACAAGCCAGCTATAAAAGAATACTTTTTCATTTTTTTTAAGTTTTTTTTTTTTTTTGGTAAAAGTAAAATTAATTTAGGTCTTTCAAAAAAGCCTACATTATTAGTAATATAAGTCAACATTCATAAATTGAGAAATATGTGTATATGAATACATTGTAAAATTAGTTTAATGATTAATAACCTCCTTTGTTTGATGTTAGTTTCCATGAGTGTTTAAGTGTGTTTAGAGATGTATTGATGCATGTTTCTCTAATTAATACTTTTTCTCAGAGATTAAAAATATATTTATATACTAATTTATGTATTTTGAATAGGATCAAGAACTTACTAATGATGTGAAGAAGGATATTGAAAAACACTGGAGAGATAAAATTAACATGTCATATCATACAGAAAAGGTAAGTAATTAAAGATTCAGATAAGACATAAATTTATTTAGTATTTTGTCAAAATTTATGATGTTAAAAAGCAGAGAATGTCATTAATTGCAATCCAGCTGTTGTTTAGTGAAAGGTATTGCTGAAACATTTGTAGTACAGGTCTCAGTGAACATGTAGCTACATGAATATTTTCATGGCTTTGTAATTTAAATATGCATTAATATCATATTTAAATTACAAATCTTTGTGATGATATCTTTGTGGAGGACCTTAAAGGTCCTCCACAAGAACTGTGCTCAGGAGCTGGTTGACTTTGTATTTAATAACAAAGATTATCATCACAAAGATATTTACTTTATTATGTATTTATTAATCATTTTGTTGTTGTAGAGGAGCGATCTGGCTCCAAAACATTTTAAATTCTCATTCACAAAGCTGTAAGATCTGTTACAGCAAGTACACAAAAGAAAAGAATACTCAATTCAAATTACGTAGGTCGAGAGTATAACGCGCTAGCAGCGCCTCCTGTCGGCAACTCTTAATCACTACTGAACATACTCCCGACCTTGAAACCTTACGGCCTCCACAAAGATATCATCCCTCTATTAGCCAGATAATTTTTTGTTATTTATCTTAATCAGTTAACCTAATCTAACTATACATCACTAAATACAGTTTGCCATTGTTAACTCAGACTTTTCACAAAGTGATATTTGGTCAAAGTTTATAATAAATTCAAGATACATAAACACCTTTTAAATTTCCTGTAAAATATTTTCAATTTTTTTAGTAATATATGTGTTTTGCTAATATTTTAAGAGTATTTTTAATAAAATTGAAAAATGATTAAAATTTTGATGCTATGATAAAAGCTATCATAGCATCAAAAGTATGAAATTAAGTAAGAAATTAAGAGTGCTAAAGCTATTTTTAGGAAAATAGCTCTAGCACTCTTAATTTTTTATTGATTCCTTTAATTTTTTTATCAGTCTTCATTTAAGATTTTAAGTGCAGTAACCACCCCCTGAAGAAAACGGTTTAAAAAAATTGACTAATAACAGCAAACAAACTAACACAAAAAGAATTCCAAAGGAGAGGACCTTCAAATAGAAAACAGATGCATGATAATTAATAAATATTTATGCATAATATTTTTAGAAAAGTCATGACAATATTTCCTGTTAGAGTTTATAGGATAACAGTAAACTCAGAAAATCTGATGTTGAGTGAAATAGAAAAGAAAGATAAGTTATTATTGGTAAATAATGTTTTGGTTTAAACAAGCATTTAATATTTTTTACTCTTGTTTGATATTTGATTTGCTAGTTTGTTTTTATGAAGGCTCTAATAATTTTCCTATAAAAATTTTTAAAAAATATTAGTCCTTTCTATACGTTTGTCTGTACCAGTTTGTTCATGTTGCAACAAAAAAACAGTATTTTTAATTTAATATAAAATAAAATAAATTGCTATGTATATAATAAAAATTTCTTAATTTTTTGAGCTGAAGTTTTATTGCTTTTAATATAACTTCTTTTAGTATTAACAAGTATTCTTTGATTAAGACACGATAACACGCCGAATAAATAAAATTCTGTGAAAATTTTGTAAATATAACGCTGATTTTTGTTGTTTGACTTCTGAATAAGTATTCTTTGATCATCAGCACCTCCATCCAAAAGCTGCAAAATAAATTGATGAGACAAATTCCATCAAAATGTATGTATATGGTAACCCAGCATGTAGCATGCCTCCGAATGGCTTTCGACTTCTCTGGACATTTTTCACTAGTATGAATGCAAATTATGATTCCTTCTATGAGAATTTCATAGAAAGAATTTTGGCATAATGTTGCTCTGTATGTTGCAGTTTTTGTCGTCTTCCACGAAATCCTGCACCCATGGAATGTGTTTCATCCTCATTTTAGGATTTTCTTACCAAGGTTGTGCCCAATGCTGAGTTTTTGCAATACCTTGATATTTTTTTCCTGTAAAAACAGTTCATTGTGCATACAGGAAGAGTGCATGCTGTGTACAGCAGTGTAAAAAAATTTAGAAGCGTTTGTGTATTGTAAAGAAAAAAAGAATGAGCAAAAATTAGCTGCATTGTTGAAATAGATGTAAAAGTGCCTAAATAAATTTCTGTTTGAAGTTACCAACTAGTTCACAAATTTTCAGTGGGAGGTGCAGAAAATCAGAAAATACCTGCTAATATTTCATTACAAAATTAGATATTTAAGTTATATTTAATTTCTGCTTTTCATTTTTAGGATGCCCAAAAGTATTACTTACTTTCTATGTTTCCTTACCCGTCAGGCAATTTACACATGGGGCATGTTCGAGTTTATACACTGAGTGATGCAATTGCTCATTTTTTTAGATTAAATGGCCGAAAGGTAAGTACAATTGTATACTGATGAGTGATTTCTGAAAATGTTTATGATTTAAAGTTTTTTTTTACATGTATATATTCATTTTGCTAAAAGAGTCTTCACAGAACATATTTTTTACAAAGAAATAAAAATACATATCTTCTGCTTTATTGTGTACAGTGGTACAGTAAATTTAAGTGCTCTGTTTGCAAGTTGAATTTTGCCTGTCAGCATCTACATTTATGTATTGTTCGATAAATTACATAATGTAGATTTCTTTCAAAACACTAAATGTAACATTCTTCAAAACTGAAAAGTTTCATAACAGATGAAATATTAACATATTCTGCTGTATGTATTGAGCAATCCTATTTTTGCTTGAAATGTTATGATTTTTTTTTTTTTTTTACTTACTGCTTAGTAGTCATACCAGCACAACCATACATTTTATTGTCTTATAAGCTTTACTATATTACTTTAGGTTTGCAATAATATACTAAACAAAATGAAAAATAAGTAATGCAGTATACATTTTACTACAATGCTTAATTTACTGTGCTGAAAAATTGTTCAACTGGAAGTGATTAGCATTATCCACTGCAGGCCCACCAGCGGCCGAGCGGTAAAGTCGCTGAACACTGGTAGTTCGGTTCGAGGTTCGAATCCCGTGAACGGGCTGGCTGCATGGGTGTTTTCGTGGTTTTCCCCATGTATACGAGCCAGTTTCCCTTAGAAAGTCCTCCACGAAGGCATTCCTCCCCTTAGGCAGATAGCCCTCGAGGCTTTGCCATAATCACACACACACACACACATTATCCACTGCATTTTAAGGGATATTCACAACACTTGAGTTTAATGTAACAGTAATAGCAGCTGGAATTGGCTAAGAAATTATCCCAAATAGCTTACTGCTTAGTAGTTATACCAGCACAACATAATGTACAATGTTTAATAATTGTTTAATAATTGTATGTGCTACAATTATTTTTTATTGTTTATGCACTAGTGTGCAAAACTTTAGCAGAAATTAATTTTCCAACATCAACCATGAAAGAGCTTTTTGCAATCAGTACAGGAAAAGCCATCTAAGTAGAAAGGCGATGCATGTGAAAATTGCAATTTTGTATTCTGAATGTGTGTAAAACTGTGAGACCTCTCATTAATCAATGCACAGTGTGTAGAAGATTTTCTGCAAAAAAATCCTAGAAACTTGTATCAACCTTCTCTAGAAGACAGACTACACGAAGCAGCTGCATTCGAAACCTGTAGTGTGGACTTTGTTGGACCAGTGATCTTGAGAGGCAACATGAAATCTTGGATCTGTTTATTCACCTGTGCTGTTTATAGGACAGTTCATTTAGAGTTGGTTGAATCGATGTTTACCGACAGTTTTTTACTAGCTCTTAGAAGATTTGTAGCTCGTATAGGACGAAGTAGAATCATATACTGTGATAGCGGAACTAATTTTGTTAGCACTTCAAATGCACTTCGAGATCTAAACTGGATGCAAATCACTGATGACACGTCTATACTACCAATTTAATGGAAGTTCAACAAACTAACTGCCTCTTGGTGAAGAGGTTGGGGAGAGAGATTGGTAAGAATTCTTAAGAAATTGCTTCTTCAGAAGATAAGAAAGAGCTTCCTTATCTTCTGAAGAAATGACCATGATTCTTTGCGACTGTGAAGCAGTGATTAACTCCCATCCGTTGACGTGTAACTGAAAATGATGCTACTTTGATGCCTTGAAGTCCATCTCTATTTCTGCAAGGCATGCAAATAAATGATGTTCTATATCTTGATCACATTCAACACAAAAGTCTTAATAAGTGGGTTAAATATTGAGAAAATCTGCAAAGAGATTTAAGGAACAGGTTTAGGTCTAGGAAACAGAAAAATCTATGAAAGTGAATATTGGTGATGCTATATTTATAGGAAGTGATAATACCAAGTGAATCAGTTGGCCATTAGGCAAAATAATTCAGGTCCTTCCAGGGAAAGACAGAATGGCAAGACTTTTGTGTCCAATGTGGTGGGAGCTTAAAACAACTAATGGACAATTGCTAAGACCAATTCAAAAATTGTACCCATTTGAAGTATTTAATGATGATCCCATTATTGAGAAATTTTCAGCCAAGAAGGTGGGGAACGAAACATGAAAATTCTGCCTCTGATGACGTACGTGAACCTCAGATTCAAAAGACTAGAGAGGGTTGTATAATCAAAGTGCCTAAGAGACTGGACTCATGAACTATTTATAATTTTCTTTTGTAACTTCTGAATTATTTATAATTTTTCGTAAGTTAAATTTTTAAGGTAAAAAGTTAACTTAGGTGGGAGGATATCAAGTTGAACCTTTGCCTAACATAGTCTTTGTTTGACTAATTTAGAAAATTACGTATGGCACAAGTGAAGGCTGTTTGCATTTTCGTTTTGAGCTCATTCTTTTTGTGAAAAAGCAGAAAAATGGCTTTGAGTTGCATTTTACATGCATTTTGAGAAATTAATGAGTATTATCTTCTTATGCCATTTATATTTGACTGTTATTTTGAGTTGTTGCAATTAAAGGTGCTACTTTGGTAGATGGTTGCATGGATTTTGGCGAGTGATACGACTTATGGTAAACCCATTGCTGGACAAGTTATTTATGGTAACCGATACTTTGTTATCATTTTATTTTAAAAATAATGCATTTTATTTATGCATAAATTAGTTGTTTTAATATTATTTATGGCTTCTAAATATTAAAAATCAATTTAATTTTGTATTTATATTTGAAATAAAATTTTTGTTGTTTATGATATTTTATATAATTTTATGTTGTGGATGATGTAATCAATGACATCACCTTATTTAAAAAGTAATTGGTTTTATTAATATCTATAAATTTAATCTAATGTTTTAAACATTATTTATGGCTATTAAATATTAAAATACAATTGAATTTTGCATTCTTTTAAAAAATGATTTTATTACGAATGATTATTTAAATAATTTTAGTTCTATGCATGATGTATTCAACTCCCTGATTGGTTACTGAATATTTGTGCATTACCGCGCCATTTTAAAATTTTATTATTCATCTCTTCGAATTCCTCATATTTCAAAGCGAATGGATATGTCCGTTTCGAAGATGAATGTTGTTTTTGGTAATTACCAAGAATTATTGGTATTGGAATAAAACAATTACCCTTTGAGAAATTAATGATATTTATTTTGGCCAACCTGGCTTCCTAATCAAAGATTTATTTATAAATTGTTACAAGGGTCAGAGGAAATTTATTTTAAATTTTTGGAGGAAATCTTGCTAATTGCTTCTTCAATGAAGTGCGAGAGATGTGAATCACAGATAAAGATTGTTAGAAGATCTTTTTTTTTTTTTTTTTTTTTTTTTTTTTGTGGTACTTATCAATATATGACAGGTAAAATACTTAAAAAAAAATTAAGTACATATTTTTCTTTTACTTTATAATTGTATACTTCAATTTTTATTAAACAATTAATACACTATTTTAAAAAATTGCTGAGATATTTATTGCCACATATGTTTTAATGTTAAATAATTATATCCTATAAAACCTATTTTAAAGTATTTGAATTTAAGTAATATTTTAATTCTTTTAAATGTTGGTATAATGTTTTTAATTCGATATTCAATTTAAGTAATATTTTAATCCAATTAAATGTTGGCACAATGTTTTTATAATGGTGTTTTTATTCTATTATATGAAAGTAATAATTTAACCTTTTTTTAGCATTTTATACTCTTAGTAAATGTATTTATTTACATTTGCCAGCCATCTTAAAAAACAACGTTTTCAATAAAAAATTAATCCATTATTTTTAATATTTATTTTTTTAAAGTTTCGAATACTTTACTATGCATAAAATACATGAAAACAGCATTTTTCAAGATGGCTGATGACTGTAAAAACCATGCCAAAAATTGCGCCAATGTAAATCGCTAAAAATCCGTGCAACCTTCTACCAAAGTAGCACCAAACTAAATAAACTGTTTGTATTGTAACTAGATGTTTCATTGAATAATTGATTAAACTCATTTCCATTTCTAATTCTTCTGATCTTTGAAGGCAAAACGAGACACTCGTGTTGAGTATTGACTGATGGTACAATCAGGCCTGCCCCAAGCCTAATCGGCACCGTCGTGCAAATATATAGTGAGCATCTTTATGCAGTGATGATGATATCAGAGAAAAATTTTTTATGGTTAACTCTTAAAATGAAGTATAATAATACTTATATATATGTAATTATTCTAACATAATAATATGAAAAACAAGAAAAATTATATTTTATCTTTTAATTTTTCTAAATATGCAAAACATTTTGTGTTTGTTAAAATCCACTCTCAGACATATTTATTGAAGAGAATATACATATATTTATATTATAAAAATAAAATTGCTAGCGAAAAAAAATTCAGTGCTTAACACTTCAATGTTTGAATGCCAATTATAATACTTAATACTATTTATTATCGTAAAATTAAAAACAAATTAATTTACATAACTAATGAGTTAAAATATTGGGAAATATAAAGCTAAAGCGAGATATATAGAAGTGTAGACAAATAAATGATATTTAATTTTAATTATATATTAACATTAATGTATTAACACATTAACTGTTAGGTCACTTAAAAATTTTTTAAAATTCCATAAGCTAATTAAAATACTAACCTGAAGGGGCAACTGTATGGCACAGAAATTGGCTGAGAAATGGCAAAAAGTACAGTTTTTGTAATGCATTTTAGATTTTAAAGTCTTGAAAAACTTGAAATGTGTTTTACTCAAAACAATGTTTCTCATGTTGACATACATTGTATATCATTTAATTGTGATCTGTTTCAATTCAAACTTTGTATGTGTATTCCTAAATACATTATCTTTGGAAGCAGTAAGTACCCATGATTTTTAAAATAACTCAATAATAGCAATCCACGTTTAAAAAATGAAACTTTTACAGTAAACATTCTTTGTTTTTTAAATATTGACTACTTGATC